GCAAAACTGACCTTTAGTATTAGAATTCAAGAGTAATGGGAAGAAGACTGGGAAGGTGCAGGGACTCTGGGGTGCTGGTAATGAACTATTTCCTGTACATTTTTGTACACTTGTTGTACTTCAATAAAAAATTAACTTAAAAACTAAAGCAACTCTGTTCTCTGAAGACTAGGGCTTCAACATGCTCTAGTCTTACAGCTACCTACTTCACTTGCTAACATTTTCTACCTTGCTTTCTATGGACCACTGGGCCTGCTAACTCTGTAATTCAATAAACTACCTTCAGTCCTCAGTAATTTCCTGGTATGTAATTAACATATGTTTAATATATATTTAATTAATTATTTGAACACGCTATCGTAACTATTGGAATTCGACATCCTAATATATATTGATATCCTTCTTGGATTGTAACAAATCCTAGTCAACTACAAAGGCAGATCTGCTTTAAGAAAATTCAACACATCTCCAGCCTGAGCTACATAACAAAACCCCATTTCTACAAAAAATTTAAAAATTAGCCAGGTATAGTGGTACATGCCTGTAGTCTCAACTACTGCTAGGGCTGAGTTGGGAGGATCGCTTGAACCCAGGAGGTTGAGACTGCAAATGAGCCATGATCACACCCCTGCACTCCAGCCTAAGCAACAGAGCAAGATCCTGTCTCAAAAAACCCAGGGCACAGTAAACATTACAAAAGTGATACATTCATCAATTCAAGACAAAAATCATTCATGCTGTTTAATGGGGGGGGGGAGGACTGGGATGATGGGATGACAGACAGCACAGTGTATATATTTTTAATCACTTACCCACAAACCTGATACTTAACAGCAACAAAACTGGTACTACTTATAACCACTAAAATGTATCTGGGTGTCAGTAAAGATTTGGCAACACCTGTTTAAAAACGTTACCAGAAAGAATATCAGAGAGTGAACTGAATTGCAGGCAGAGGTGTAAATTAATCAAGGAAATGCATACTGAAAATTGTAAGGCTCTGTGCAGATACACAGAGATGAATGTACATTTTTCTCCTTAGTCTGGGAAGAGCAAGAAGAGCACTTTACAATTAAAATGATGCATTCACTACTGGGACATTAAACAAGATATTTAATCTCTCTGTGACTCAATGTCCTCAACTGTAAAACGGGGATAGCTGTTAGGGTTATTCTCAGGAATGAATGAGTCAATATAAAGAGTTTAAACAAGTAACTTACACGGATTAAGACTATGTAAGCACTGACTTTTAATTCCTTAAAAAATACTCTGGGAAAAAGGTGTTAACCATTCAACAAGGAAAAGACAGCATTTTGATAGACAAACAGTGTTGGAAAAATTGGATATGAACATGCCAAGAAATAAATTGGACCCTAACTTTACAACATATACCAAAATTAATTCAAAATGGATCAAAGACCTAAACTGAAAAGCTAAAACTATAACTCTTGGCTGAAAACATAGGGAGAAATCTTCATGATGTTGAATCTTGTAATGATTTCTTGAATATGACACCAAAAGCACAGGCAACAAAAGTTATAGATAAATTGGACTTCATCAAATTAAAAACCTGTGCATTAAAGGACACCATCAAGAAAAAGACAACCCACAGAATGGGACAAAGTGTTTGCAAATTAAATATTAACATCCATAATATATAAAGAACGCCTGCAAATCAAAAGATGAACGGGTAAACAAAATTTGCCATATATATAAATGGAATACTTTATGCAGTTATAAAAAATGAAATTCAGAGACATCCTAAGACATGGATGAACCCTGAAAACACTATGCTAAATGAAGTCAAAAACAAAAGGAAAAATATTGTTAACGATTTCAGTTAGGTGCCCCAAATTGGCAAATTTGTGGAGATGGAAATCATAGCAGAGGTTACCAAGGATGTAAATGGGGAAGGGCAAGTTACTGATTAATGGAATGGGTACAGCCTTGTCCCTTTGGAGAAGTGAGGATAGGGAGTCATCCTTTAATGGATATAGAATTTCTGTCTCAAGTTCTAGGAAACAGTGGTGATGGTGGCACAACATTGTGAATGTAGAGTCATGCCTGGGTATCCACAGGGGGTTAGTTTCAGGACCTCCAGCAGGACACCAAAATCACAGATGCTCAAGGGCCTGATAGAAAATGGCCTAGTATCTGCATATAACCTGTGTCCATTCCCCCACTTTACATGATCTCTAGATTACTTATAATACCTAATGTAAATGCTAATGTAAAATAGATGTTAAAATTACTTATAAAACCTAATGTAAAATAGATGATATACTGTATTGTTTAGAAAATAATGACAAGAGAAAAAGTCTGTACATAATCAGCACAAATGCAATGATTTTCCCCAAATATTTTCTATCCTTATTTGGTTGACTCCATGGATACAGAGGGCTGGCCACCCTTAAGGCCAATGAATTATACTCTTAAAAATGGTTAAAATGGTCAATTTTATGTTATATATATTTTATTATAAGCCACTAAAGATTCTTACACAGGAGAACAATCTATGTATCATTTTAGCAAAATTTAGACTGAGAATGGATAAAGCACAGAGGTTAAGAAAAAGAAATAGGTTTAAAATAGGGTTGAAAAGGAAATGAAATAGGTGTTGGAGAAACTACTCCCTCAGTCTAAAATGGGAGAGCATTAACTTTGATCTAAGAGGTTTCTTACAGGATTTCACCGAATACAGTTGTGAGTCTAATACTGACCCCCCATATACATACATCTGGGTTCCTATTGGCAACGAGTTTAGACAGGATGTATTAACGGCCAGTATGTTCGAGGAACATTAAAGGTAAATACAATCTTACCAGATTTGTAAATGTAATATAAATATGCTTTTGAATTTAAAAGTTCTCTAAATTCAAACATTAACTTTCCCTCAGTTATTACAAAGAAAAATAATTATAATTCCACCAAAATACCTTTTTAAATATAACAGTTCTTTGCCAATCAATGTCTGCAGTTACATTTATGCTTAAATGACATCACATTGATGATAAAAAAAATTTCCTTCACAGCAATGTTTTCCCACTTTTCTCACTTCAATCAATATTTATTTATTACCCTATTACCTCTCCTACCTTTACGGTAAGGGGGAAAAACAATCTATCATTGAAAGACAAGAGTATTAAAGCTTCAACTGGCCAGAATTAGAAAAGTGAACTAAAAGTGAGACTCTTTATTGAAATCAAATCCTCCCTCTTCCACTGTGGCCTAGATACTTAATGTACTACAGGTATTCCTTTATTATTAAGAATATAGGGCTGAGCACGGTGGCTCCCGCCTGTAATCTCAGCACTTTGCGGGGCCGAGGTGGGTGGATCACCTGAGATCAGGAGGTCAGGAGTTCAAGATCAGCCTGGCCAACCAGGTGAAACCTGTCTCTACTAAAAATACAAAAATTATCTGGGCATGGTGATCGGTGCCTGTAATCCCAGCTACCCAGGAGGCTGAGGCAGGAGAATCCTTTGAACTCGGAAGGCGGATGGTGCAGTGAGCTGAGATCGCACGATTGCACTCCAGCCTGGGCGGCAAGAGCGAAACTCAGTCTCAAAAACAAAAAAAAAGAATACAGACATTACAAAATTGCTAAAAATGAGAAGACATATTTACAGAATTCCGACATTCCTTTTAGGTGTTTTAATATTTATGACATCACTTATTCTTTTAAATTTGGTAAATGCAAAATTCCACATATCATATAGGTACTCTAGTCCACCATATGAAATCCAAGATACTATCCTTTTTCAATTAGGTGTAAGAGAGACTGGTCCAAAAATAAATCTTAACTTGTCTTCGTATCTATCTGCATCCATTCCCTAAAACAACATAATACTAATGCCATCATTTATATGCTAAGCATTTAGTGAACCATGTACTAGGAACTATGTTTTTTGCTCTGAAATCCAAAATACTGCCTTGTGTTTATATAGTTGCCTGGAAAAGAAAGTGTGTTACATCAACAGTGATACCAGTAGCAGCAGATTGCCCCACGTTAGACGTATAAATAACGCCAAGGGGTCACGGAAAATTAAACGGAGACCTCTAATACTTCTAACTAAATACCATCGACATACACGAGAGATCTGTGAAACACACACACACATTCGTGAAACCTTGGTTCCCAATGCCGAGTTCCAACATGACATTCTTACGCAGGAACGTTATTACACATTCACTATAAAAAGTCCACCAGTTCTGCGACCTAAAATTTTGTTGATATTTACCAAAGACAGTTAACATTTTTCAAGATCTCTGTCCTCTTAAGCGAAAAACAGAGCCTGGTCCAACTAAGATATCCGGCTAACCTGTCCACCTGAAATACTCTATATACGGACTGCTGTGTGTGACCACTTGCAATCGCACACATACTGGAGTCTAAGCTACAAGTTAGTGGCCGAATGAAGAACAAAGAAAGTTTAAATAATTAAAAAAAGCACCGCAAACCAACGTTAACTTAGTTCAAAAGGCATTAGCAGAAATTCAGGACTAGGAGCTATGCTATTAGTTGGATCGCCCCATCTCAATCTTCAAAGGCTTTAGGGAAGTGCAGGTCATGAATCGAAGCAAAGTGTTCGGTGAATAAGGTTTCTGTAGCTCCAGAGATGCAAATGACAGCTGGCTCCGCAGGAAGAACGGGTCAGGCTCAGGCAAGGGTGGCTGTGGAGACTCCCACAGGCTGGAAGGAATAGGGGCGGACCACCCCCAAGAGCAGAGTTTGTCGGAGAATTGAAAAGGAGTAGGGGAGGAATCTCCTGAGCTGGGGAAGCCGGCCAGCCGGGCCTCCGTGCCAGTCTGGGAGCCCCCTGTGAATAAATGGGGGCTCGCACCCGAGAAATGAGGCCTAATCCCGGCAGCTGCTCGGGGCTGCGGCCACCGCCGGACATTCCGGGGCAAGAGACCGCTAGGAAACCCGGGCCGACAAAGAGTGAAAGGAAAGCACGGAAGGACGGGCGGGGACCCACAGGGCACGAGCGTGGCCTCACCCTCTCATGGTGAATTTGACCACGGCGAGTCTGGAGCCCGCGCCGCTCAGCTCTGGCTGGAAATCCGGATCGCTCCCGACCGGCTTCACCCCTACCATCCTCACAGAGAACCCGGCAGGGTGGCCGCGACGCCACCGGTTTCGAAACTGAAGAAGATGACCTGGGAGAGGAAGCAGAGACCCTCAGGAAGGCCAAGGCCTGGACAGAAGAGGCTGCGACCGCGGCGTCTACTCCCGGGACTCTCCGTGCCGAGTCACGCCAGAGCGCGGAGCGGCCGTGGGGGCGGGGGAGGGGGGGGGTGTGGAGAGGCGAAGGAAGGTAAAGCGTGCGGCACCCAGCAGCCACCGCGCGGCAGGGTAGCCGGCGCTTGCGCGCCTTGACGTCATTTTTGCGCCGTCCGTTTTGGCCTTCACTGCCCAATCCCAAAATGCGAAGCGTGCCCCTCCTTAGACTGAGTGGCCCGCGCTACCTTGAGCGGCGCAGACGCAGACGTGTAGGGGTCACGTGCGCGAGCGCAGACTAAGACTCAAAAGTTGGATTCCTCCGCGTTTTCCAGACCTGAGGCGTCTACCTAGGTTCAGGCGTTGGGACGGTAAAAGAGTGCACTTGTTTTACTCCAGGCTTCTTAGTTGCTGTTCAAGCCACCCTCTAGAAGTACTTTGAAGGTGTTGCTGTACTGTATTCGGGCAGGTCTACGCACAAGACAAATTAAGGTTGAGGAAAAATTTATTAACAGGCTTCATTACATATGGAGCACTCTCTGCAGTCATTCAGAAAGTATCGTGCACCTGTGTTTAGATTTTGACCAAAAAGATGACACTATCCCTCCTTCAGGAAGTTCACGGTCGAGTGACCGACGCAAACAATAATTTGAATAGGAAGCGATGGAGACAAACGAGATGGGAAGGTGGGGCAGGGTAAACTTGCTAGGAATCTGACTCCTTGATTCAATCTTGAAAGAGAAGCAGGGGTTAGATGGATGGTGAGAGAGAATATTCCAAGCAAGGGGACCACCAGGTGCATATGCATGGGTTGGTGGATAAGAATAGCTAAAATTTACCACATGATGAACCACGTCAGAGATAAGTTCTATATATGTGTACTAGCTCATTTAATCCCTGCCCAGTAGGTTCTGTGATTTCAAGTCAAGGTGGGCTAATGCCAGCGTACTCTTTTAAATATTAGGCCAGGTGGCAAATTATTTGTCTTTGGATTTAGCTGGGGAGATGAAATTGGAGGGAAGGTCAAACTTAGATAATGACTCGCTAAGGATTTCGGATTTTGTCGGGAAGAGAATGGAAGAATCACTGCCGGGCAATTTTGCGATTGCAAGTGTGTTTACAGCCTGGGCAGCGTGGTGAAAACCCCGTCTCTACTGGAAATAAAAAAATTAGCCGGGCGTCGTGGGGTGTGTCTGTGGTCCCAGCTACTCGGGAGGCTGAGATGGGAGGATTCCTTGAGGTGGGGAGGTCAAGGCTGTAGGGAGCCATGATTGCACCACTGCACTCCAGCCTGTGTGACAGAGCCAGACTCTGCCTGAAAAAAAAAAAGAAAAGAAAAGAAAATAGAAAATGTGTCTTTAAAAAAGCCGTCGAGTAGCAGCAAGGGTGATCCAGGAACTAAATTATGAAAGCATCTGCAGTGGAAGTGAAGAGGAAAGAATATGTTTGAGAAACAATTATTGGGCCAATTTAGTGAGATGACAGAGGACTTTAAGAGAACTCAAACATTTCAATGGTGTAGCTTTTTAGAAATGAGTTAAAATGCCTGAAGGACATCCAAATGAGAGGTACAGTAGATCGTGAGAAGGGTGAGTCTGGAACTAAAGAAAAAGGACTAGGATGACGTTAAAGACTTGAGAGTCATCAAACTGTGTGATAACTGAAGCCCAGGAACTGCGAAAAGAGAAAGCTCAAGGTGTTGCAGAAAGAAAATAATTCTTAACTGAACTCAGCCACACCAGAGATACAGTAATTACATTCCTTTTTCATGTGATATCACTACATTGTAGTGGTTTTAATGGATAGACAAGTTCCACTACATTTTTTTTTTTTTTTTTTTGAGACAGAGTCTCACTCTGTTGCCCAGGCTGGAGTGCACAGGCGTGATCTCGGTTCACCACAACTTCCGCTTCCTGGGTTCAAGTGATTCTCCTGTCTCAGCCCCCCAGGTAGCTGGGATTACAGGTGCGCACCACCACACCAGCTACTTTTATTGTATGTTTAATAGAGACGGGATTTCACTGTGTTCGCCAGGCTGGTCTCAAACTCCTGACCAAAGGTGATCTGCCTGCCTTGGCCTCCCAAAGTGCTGGGATTACAGGCACGAGCCACCGGGCCCGGCCTTGCTACTTAAATTTTATGGCCATGCACAAACTCCTAACCTCTCAGAACCTCAGCTTCCTTGTCTGTGAGTCTTGGATTAATAACACCTGCTTTCTAGGATTGTGACAGTAAAAGGTTATAGTGGATGATGTTTATAAAGAACCAAAATATGAGGTATTTGATAAAAGATGTTTTTTAAACAATGGTGTCTATTCAGCTAATCAACTAGGGTTGCTATAAAAATAGCAAAGACTGAGTGACTTAAAATAAATTTATTTCTCACAGTTCTGAAGACTGCTTCAGAACAGGAGTCCAAGATCCAAGTGCTGTTAGTGTTGGTTTCTCCTAAGGCCTCTCTCCTTCACTTTTAAATGGCTGTCTTCTTACTGTGTCTTCACATTTTCTCTGTGCACACACACATGCACATACAGTACTAGCCTGATCCTCTTCCTTACAAGGACAGCAGTCTTACTAGATTAAAGATCCACTCTGATGATATCACAACTTTAATTACCTCCTTAAAAGTTATAGGTCCTATCTCCACTTAGAATAATATTTGGGGTTGGGGCTTCAACCTATGAATTTGGGTGGGGTTGGGGGAATCCAGAACAAATGGATTCTTATTATTCCCAACTGTCCTTCCAGTTTTGCCTAAGAAGCAAGTAGAAATGGTCTCCACTACATGAGCTATAGTAGACATGAAGGGGGAAACAGGGCTTATGAAAGCAAGATAGGTTATAGATTCTTAAGAAGCAATATGAAAAGAGGCATTGTAAAAGTTAGCTCTAATAGGGACACCATGTGTCCCTCCACGTCTACTCTCTTACCTTTCTTTGCTCTCGGCTCTAGGAACCTGCCTACAAGGACTGCATCAATAGGATCCTCTGTTGGAGCTTCTTGTTAAGAGATTGGAGGATAGAAGAAAATGAGATCCAGTTAGTAATTCCCTTAGCTCCCTTCCTGCTGTGTTTACAGGCTGTCTGTATCTCCACCAAAGACCCTGTATCTCCACCAAAGACCACAGCTCTTGTCATACCATTACTCTCTTAGGGTTCCTGCAATCACTGTCTTCTATTGTCTCTTTAGATATGGAAGTCGAAATTACTCCAAGCTGTTGGTAGCACCCATATACTAACGAGAGAAACTCTGGGCCAGCCACTTAGTGTAAGGAAAATGGATGTGCTTTGGTCAAGAGTAGGCCGAGGTAAACATCCTGTGTGACTCAGTGAATTTGGAGTAGAGGCGCATAACTCCACTTGTTATATAATCACAGCTATGTAGATATAAAATGGGAAGGCTCATCTCCTTGTTCAGAGCCACTTTTGTTTGTAAAAGGTATAACTGCCCTGATAACGCTGTACATACAACACAGCATGGCTTGGCTCATGCCCAGAGAGAATTAAGCTGCCTACCCTGTAAGGGAGAGCTGGTTTTGCAGACCAGGGAATGCAGCTGCAGGTGTGAGAGCAGCAGAAGCTGCAGGGCCAGAGCAGGCAGCTGAGACAGAAACAGACAGTGTAAGAGAGCTGCTGAGTAAAGCCATCTTTTACCTGCCTACAACCGCCCAAGTGTTCTTTCAGCTAGCTATCTGCCACCCATCTAACCACTCCCTTCAGACCTCAGCATGGGCTGGAACCTGGCACTGGGTGTGGCACCTAACCTGATGCTACCTGTTCCTGACGAGACAAGAGAGTACTGAATTGGATAGTCCACATAAAGAACAGAGACACTCACCACTATAATCCGAAGGCAGGCACCCACAGGAAACAGAGGTACCTGGAAGCTGTATTCCAAGATAGACTTCCCAGGCTTATAGCATGAACTGCCAGCCACCTAGCACTAGCCTAATTGGTTAGCTCAGATACCACAAGCTAATGGGCAACACCGGGAAAGTTCACTCTCGTAATACCAATAAGGATCTTTTGGTTTAAAAAGAACTACCCTTACCACCCAGAACCTAGTTGTATGATGAATCTAGTCCCCGTCTTTACAGTTAAACTTTTTTACTCACTGCTCAATCCTTGATGTTGTTGTTTTTATTTTCTTTTTAGCAGCACCATTGCTTTTTTTTTTTTTTGCAATGGAGTCTCTCTCATTCTGTCACCCAAGCTGGAGTGCAGTGGTGCAATATTGGCTCACTACAACCTCTGTGTCTCCGGTTCAAGCAGTTCTCCTGCCTCAACCTTGCAGGTAGCTGGGATTAAAGGTGCTTGCCACCACACTGGCTGATTTTTGTGTTTTTATTAGAAATGGGGTTTCGCCATGTTGGCCAGGCTGGTCTCCAACTGATAACCTCAAATAATCAGCCCGCCTTCGCCTTCCAACGTGCTGGAATTACAGGGATGAGCCACCAGGCCCAGCCTACCATTGCATTTTTGACTTTCCTAGATCCTATCTACATGTTTGTTAATACTGCCCATACCAAATTATACTCAGTTACCTATTTTGAATATGCCTTTTCCTTTTGTGACTCTGCCTGATACGAAAATTTTAAAAATGTTTAACACCAGAGAAATTGGAGGCTAGAAGATTAACATAGCAGGCTAGAGATAAATATATGAGAGTTTCCAGCATAGCAGTCATAGTTGATACCACTAAAGAAGATCATAAGGAAGTACACAGAAAAGCAAAGAGTTAACAGCAGAAATGTAAGGACAACTACAAATAGGGAGTAAAATGAGAAAAGTTAAAGAAGCAGAGACTCAGGAGGACTATCGCAGAAGTAAAGTGTCAAAGACGAAAAGGTTGAAGGCTATGAAATGCCTTTTAATGTAGCAAGGGAGTCGTTGGTCTTTATCTGAACAACGAGTACAGTTCAATTAAGATTGGAGTCAGCTCACTGACAACCACAACAAATTCTTCAGGACCTCCAGTGTGGCAGGCAGTGTGCCATAGCCTCAAAAGTTAAAGATGAGTGTTACATGTTCCTGTCCTTCAGAATGTACACTTTTGTGATAGCTCCATTTCCAGGGATATGGGCTAAAATGGAACCCATAGATAGGTGATGAACCCATGTATGTAACTTTATATATTTACTATATA